AAAAAAAAAAAAAAAAAAAAAAAAAAAAAAACGCCATTTAAGATGCAACAGTTTGAACCATACCTACTGTTATTTAGATTAAGCAATTTCAATACAAGGTCATTATTCTGTATTGGAGAACGTCTCACTTCGTGTTGCAATAAAAACAAACATTGCACCCGTAAAAACAATTGTGATTATTTTTGGGGAGAAATAGATGAAAAATTAGGTTACATTATTTGGCTTCTCAAATTCCTACGGACAATGCAATGGTTAAAATTAAGGTTCTCCAGAATAGATAGCACCCATGTGAACAGTCTTTGTGAGAATTGCACAGCAAGAGCTTTGACTGTCACATTCTGTCACCAATCACAATCTGCAGCCAATCGTCGTGATTTGTCACTGGAGGAAAAATGAGGGATATAGACTTTCAAAATGGTGGCTTCAGGAGGCAAGACACTACCACGAGACTGTTTTCCTTGCAATAGTTCATTTTTGCTGTTGTACTTTTCCTGCATCAGTGGGTTTTTTTTGGGTTTAAATAAGGGAAATCATGAAGATAACTAAGGTGTGTATAACTTCATAAAAAGGGGAAAAACTCACTGACCACGCGATTACAGATTGGTGTTATGAGTCTTGATATTTGATAAAGTCTTGATATTTGATAAAGGTGAACAGGTAATTACCTCAATCTATATGATGATGACTTGTTAGTCCCTTTCGCCCCTCCAGCCAGGGTGGGTTTGAGAATGTCGTCATACACATGGGGCAGCTTGTAAAGGAAAATGTAAGCGAGGGAGTCAAAACCAGATACAAACACTCAACAGAAGTCTTACACAAATCCGCCAACAGATCATATGTCAGACAACAACCATGTGCCAAAATGGAGCAATGTAAACGTGCTAACCAGTGAAAATATGATTACAATAAGCACAGAGTTTTGAAAAGCCAAGGGTGAGAGGGACTAACAAGACTTCATCAAGACTAGGTTGATTACATGTTTACCTTCACCTGAACAGGTAATTCAGTAGTGACCAATTCTGTCCGAGTGAAAAAACGAAACAGTCAACAGGTAAATCAAAGGTCTGGATCTATCATAAATGAAAACTTTTTGACTAACTTGGATTAGATATAACATCTCTATAGTAGATCTTCATAGATGTCTTATTTATTTGTCGCTGGTGGAATAATGAGTGATATAGATTACGAAAAGGTGACTTTGGTATGCGAGACACTGTCAGAAGACTGTGTTGAAATTATCATTCTTTTTTTCAATGTTATGTTGCAAACGATCGAGTTTACTTTTCATGCATCAGTTGTTTTAAATGGATGTAAATAGGGAGAGGTATGAAGACAACTAGGGTGTTTAAATCCATAATATGGGAAAAGAAAATTCACTTAACATGTAATTAAATAAACCATTTACTGTTCTTTGGTTATTAAACACGATCATAAAATGTTTTTTTTTTTGGTCAAAACTGTTTGTAAATAATTGCTTTTGCTGACTCGTCACATCATAATCATTAGGAAAGTTGGGTTGTACAATAAATACGGCATTGTTTGGCCAAATCTCGAACCATAGCCTTCTTTCTTGTTGTGAATAAGACTATGGATGTTTGTGGTAAACTGGGATAGAGGAAACATTAAAAAATATATGAAATATCTATGTGTATGTCAAACCGTTTTGGAGCAGGCCTTTGTGATAAATCTGTGAAGGAAAAATATGATGCACTTAAAAAAAAAAAAAATGAAAAAAAAAAACTGTAGGCTCTGACCCACTAGAATGTGCGTTCGACATGGCAGTGCTTAGTAAAATGTTAGATAAGAAATAAGTGAAACCCTCTGTGCGGTGTCAAATTCCATAACAATTATGCTATTACATGTTGTTCTATATATATATATATATATATATATATATATATATATATATATATATATATATATATATATATATATATTTTTTTTTTTAAGCCGAAGGAGACGTTCGCCTTCAAGATGGAGACACACAATACCAAGGTCGCGTGGAGATATATCACAATGGGGAGTGGCGGAGGGTGTGTGATTGGAGGTGGGGGTTTAACGACGCCAAAGTTACGTGCAGACAGTTAGGCTTCGAGGACGCCCACTCGGGTAAGTATCATGTGCCTTTTCAGAAAGATATAAGTTTATCTTATCACTGAGAAACAAATCTTTTAGGAACAATGTTGATATTGTAGACAACGTTACGCATAAAATGACTGAATCATTTATTGTCTTTTAGATGGCATAATTTGTTACAGTTTTGTTAGCACAATGGACACCGTGGCACGTTTGTTCTTTGTGCACTTTGAGCCTTTGTACAAATCTAAAAAAATGAAAAAAATGACATAAGTATGCGATAAACAATAAACTCATAGAAACTAATAGAAACAAACTACAGTATATACGTTAAAGAAAAAGAAATACATTTTACAATTACTCACATTATATGCTATATACGGTTCCAAACACAGGTAACCGACCGGTATTCTTGCTACTTGTCTACTAAATTTTCTATATATTTTTACACCACACACACCCAAAACCACTTGACTGATTACTGTTCATCTGACTAGAGTGACCACAGGGTCATGTGACTTGGCGCACTAACAGTTGAAATAAGTCCGGTTCACTTCGCTGGGCACAGGTAGGCTGAAAATTGAAACAACACTCTTGCTTAAAATGAAACCAGAAATATAACTACAATTCCAAAGTTCACTGTGACGATTATGGGAATCCTTTCTGTAAATGGCTGTAGCAGCAAGTGTCCATAATTCTTTGAGTAATTCAAAAGTAGGTGGTTAGTGTTGTCTACCCTATGTTACAGAGCTGAGCTCATGTATGTCCCAGTCATTGCCCCAGCGGGCAAATAATCAACGTTGAAACAATGTTGAACTTTAACGTTGTCTAGCATAACGATGACCACACGGCGAATGCCACGTTGTGACGGCGTTCTGAAGTGGCTGGATGAACGTGAATTAGGCGTTGAATTTAGGTCGATCAAATATTGATCCAATATCAATATACCTGTTGGGTGGTGTTTTTCGACGCAAGTCAACTTGAAGGATGGCAATACATTCCCTTACGAGAGAAAGCTGGACAATGTTTCTGGTTTTCGGTACAACTAAAAGGACACTGCAAATTACTCTGTAATCAAGTTCTTTCTGGCATATTGGTTTTGAATTATTCTGCTAATTTGTCTGACCCATGACATACCATTTGGTGCCCTCTACCAGTTTGACAGATGGATTTTACACAGATACCCACACGTGTCTCTAGATAAATAGACAGCCATTTGGCTGATTTTGCCACATTATTACAACCACAGTGATGCCAGTTTCATCTATCTCACAAAGGACGCAGAAAGGATGCCGTCCAGTGTAAAGGGATTTTTATGAATAGCTTGTTACTTCAGAGTGAGGCTAAACAGTAACGAAACATCTGACGTGATAGCCGCCATTTTTTTTTAAACTGCCGTATACGGGATTAGAGGAAATTGATTTGGTTCAATAAATTTCTCAGTCTTATTTTGAGCCTCGATATTATCTCCAACCTTCTATAATCACCAGTTTTTCTGTATTTCATTCAACGCCAGGAGAGCATGTTAATCCGATTGCATTTAGCAAGAATCATAGCCAGGCAAATAGAACCTAACAGATGAACAGACCCTAAGATACTAAGTTACCGAGTTTTAAGCCCTACTTTATTTTCCAACAGGATATAGCGACCACGACCCCAGAGGCACAGGGTCCTTTTGGTTGTCCGACGTCAATTGCGCCGGAACTGAAGAGGGTTTGTACAACTGTTCGTCCCCAGGGTGGGGCACCATCAGCTATTTATGCGGCACCGGAGACTACGACGATGCTGGGGTCATCTGTAAAGCACGTACGTAAATACCGATATCTTTTTTAAGGGCAATAAGCGACACGATTTACTAATTATTTAAAGTGATGACAATTGCAGTTTTGGTCAAAAACGGATTTTCTTTAAGAAAACGGTAATTTTCTCATGGTTTATGAATCCGATCCGAGATACGAAGTTGGTCCATTTCACAATTTGAACTTTTTTCTCAATACACTCTCAAAAAATTTGCAAAAGGCAATCATCTTTGAGTTTCCATGGTGTGATGAACCTCATATTCCCGAGTAATTGCGTTTTAGCTGCCGTTTCTGAGGGTAACATAGAACTTATTATATTCCGTGTGTTATTTACAGTGCATTTATGTGAAATGCGAATTTCATATGAAGAGTTGATATCCCCATAACAATCAAACGAGTCCAAAGCGGCGAGATTTCATTGTTTTCTGACTGAGTGGGGTCAAATAAGTATCCTCCTTTACCTTGCAGCTGGCGATGGTGCCGTTCGCCTGGTANGCGTAATTGGGAATCTACCTAGTTCTGCTTTAGCTGCTATATTACTGGCATTGCGCCTCACACCTAAAATGTATTTGCAATAGTTATTTTGTACTACTTCGAATGGCAAAGTATTCATGTATTTAAGAGATTTTATGCTTTTAGATGCGATTGATGGTCCCCAGATTTCGCATCCGTACATCAGTATGGGTTTTATAAGGATATCGAAGAGTTTTAAATATGTCTGGGTCATATTGTGGGTGGTGGACTGTAAAGCCTGCTTAACTGCAAAAACCGCCTTCATGGCTTTACCTTTCAGATCATCAAGTGCACTTTTGAATGATCCATTCGATTCGTAATGTAATCTCAAGACTGATATGACTGGTAATTGTTTGCATAACTGCTCTATGCAGGCACTGCCACTTGACAGACCCAGTCTTTTGACAACAATCAAGACAGTTATTTGGTCTGAACTTAATGACTTGCTCTTCTGTGACAGATAAAAATAGCCCCTTAAGCCCCCTTTACACTGGACGGCGTCCTTTCTGCGTCCTGTATTAGGGTCTTGTTTGAGAGTAAAAAAAAAAAATTATTTAAGTGTCGAAAACTGGCCGATCATTCTCCAACCAAAGCAATGATTTTGCCACATTATTACAACCACAGTGATGCCAGTTTCATCTATCTCACAAAGGACGCAGAAAGGACGCCGTCCAGTGTAAAGGGGGTTTTATGAATAGCTTGTTATTTCAGAGTGAGGCTAAACAGTAAAGAAACATCTGACGTGATAGCCGCCATTTTTTTTAAACTGCCGTATACGGGATTAGAGGAAATTGATTTGGTTCAATAAATTTCTCAGTCTTATTTTGAGCCTCGATATTATCTCCAACCTTCTATAATCACCAGTTTTTCTGTATTTCATTCAACGCCAGGAGAGCATGTTAATCCGATTGCATTAAGCAAGAATCATAGCTAGGCAAATAGAACCTAAGAGGAGGGGACCATAAGATAGTAAGTTACCGAGTTTTAAGCCCTACTTTATTTTCCAACAGGATATAGCGACCATGACCCCAGAGGCACAGGGTCCTTTTGGTTGTCCGACGTCAATTGCGCCGGAACTGAAGAGGGTTTGTACAACTGTTCGTCCCTAGGGTGGGGCACCATTAGCTATTTATGCGGCACCGGAGACTACGACGATGCTGGAGTCATCTGTAAAGCACGTACGTAAATACCGATATGTTTTTTTAAGGGCAATAAGCGACACGATTTACTAATTATTATAAGTGATGACAATTGCAGTTTTGGTCAAAAACGGATTTTCTTTAAGAAAACGGTAATTTTCTCATGGTTTATGAATCCGATCCGAGATACGAAGTTGGTCCATTTCACAATCTGAACTTTTTTCTCAATACACTCTCAAAAAATTTGCAAAAGGCAATCATCTTTGAGTTTCCATGGTGTGATGAACCTCATATTCCCGAGTAATTGCGTTTTAGCTGCCGATTCTGAGGGTAACATAGAACTTATTATATTCCGTGTGTTATTTACAGTGCATTTATGTGAAATGTGAATTTCATATGTAGAGTTGATATCCCCATAACAATCAAACGAGTCCAAAGCGGCGAGATTTCATTGTTTTCTGACTGAGTGGGGTCAAATAAGTATCCTCCTTTACCTTGCAGCTGGCGATGGTGCTGTTCGCCTGGTGAACACAACTAGCCCCTACGAAGGCCGTGTTGAGGTGTACTATGCCGGGGAGTGGGGACGTGTGTGTGACTACTACTGGGGCTTAAATGACGCCAAAGTGGTTTGCAGGCAACTTGGATTGGCTGGGGCTCATTCGTCTTTTTCAGGCTGGAGTCCGAGAGGCACTGGTAAGTTATATACGCTATTGATGCCCTCGGTTGTGTCGACAAGTGTGCTTATCCATCTACATGTAAATGTGTTATTTTACTATGTATCTATTACAAGAGCTTGAAGTTGACAATGTATTTTTTCATTTTTTTAGTTCAGATGGTATACTATCTTTTATGTATGGTATACTATTGGTATACTATCTTTTATAATTGGCTAAATAAACTCTTATCTTATCTTATCCTTTCAAATGAATCATAAAGGAAACATATAACATGTTACATTAACTTATAGGCCTATATATCACAGGTAATGAAATATCTCATTTGCCACACCTGAAAGTATCATAATACTGAGTATGTACCTTGATCTTGCACATCCCCAGCACATGCCATACAAACAAACTGGCAGCTTTAACTTTCCCATTATGCTGTTAACAATACATAGACAACATAAAGAATGGGCCCAGTCAGGGCGTAATTAACATGCTGGCTGGGCCTTTTATGCATAGAAATAGATTTGGTTTTGGCCTTTGACATATATATATATATATATATATATATATATATATATATATCCCGTTTATAGATAATCTGCATTTTTTTTAATAGTGACTTGTTTGGCTTAAATTATTTTTCTGACTCAGGTAAATACTGGCTGTATAATGTAAACTGTGGAGGAACAGAGTCCAATATAACCCAATGTTCCCATGGTGGGGTTGGCAGCATCAATTCCGTCTTTTGTCGTCAAAGTAACAACGACGACGCCGGGGTTATATGCCATGGAGGTGAGGCACTTTTCTCTCTCTTTATATATATTTTTTCATCCTTTCAGAAATCACTTTATTCTTAGACTGCAGAAATGATTTTATATACATACATTTGTCTTATTATGCCCTGGATCTTATTATTTAACCACAAACGTGGCATTTTAACCTACCATCCAGTTGTCTGTATTATGGCCATTGTGGCAGATCTCTGAACTCGTTCTCAGCATAGTGCATGCATATATTTTGTAGCACGAAGGCAGTGTATGAAATGGCGGCCAGCCCGACAGCCCGAGGCTGGTAACTTTCAGGCCGGGGATATATGGGGACTTTATGACATTCGGTTTGAATGTTTTAACCACTTTTGATAGGGCTTTTTTTGCATTGTATTAGATTAATGTGGCAGTCTAAGGTTTATCTAGGTGGCTTTCAAATTTATGCACCCGGTTTTAAAATCATATAGCGAATTTACGACAATCGTTTACTATCCAACCAAGGTGACAGCCGAGCATGCCAGGGCTCATCCTGTCGGTGTTCTGGCTGATACTCCGAAACGTGATCTGAAACACACCTTGAAAACGGGTAGTGTGGTCCGATATACCGGTTAATTCAGGATCCTTAGGTGCCGAGTCTGGTAGTTGGGTAGGCCTGCGTAGGCCTAACTCGAAAGTATCACGCATTGCGACCGAGCGCAAGCATCTCGATCCCATAACTCGCCCATACTCGCCCCATATAATATATTGTAGCCTCTATGTGGTATAGCTTTTCTCAATAAGCCATGCGTTCGAGATAAGAGGCCCTGCAGGACTGTCTACGGGCCCTTAGCGTGCAGGACCCTACGTGCTGAATTCTTTCTTCTTTATTGTCAGCACAGAGATAGATTTGTTTGACAAGAATATACAGTATATATTTGGTCATACTTGTTGCTATATAGAAAAGCAAAACTTATGATCAGATAATATCACGAAATCGGAATAAAAATTATGAATAAATTATTGAAGAAGAAATGAGGCAGACTGCAAGGTGAACTTAAACTGAATTGACTACCCCCCCCCCTCCCTGGCTAGTAATTTCTTTGAATTTCATACACTGATAAAGGTATATATAAATGGTTTTCCCATCACTTTTACCGGTGTCTGGAAAAAAGAAGTCAGTACATGACCCTTATCAAACATGTGCTTTATGATTTTCTGGTACCCTTTGGTCCATGAAGTTATTTCATTTAAAAGATCCGATCTGCTTCCTTTTGCGCAGATATCTTTTTAAATAAATTTTGTAGCCCTTCTAAAACTTTCAATATCGTAAATGAGAAAAGGTAAATAAAAAAAAACGCTAGTGCACAGACACATTGGTCGGAAAGTCAGTTGACACGACATGAGATAATGGAAGTCGTTCAAACACGATATGATCAATTCATGCACAATAATGCAGTTAAAATAATAATATAATATAATATAAAACATTCATCTGAATGGGGTTTCATTTATGTTTTCAGACGGTGACGGTGACTTGCGTCTTATTAACACATCAAATGCGTACGAAGGCCGTTTGGAGATCTATTATTCTGGAAGATGGGGGAGAGTTTGTGACTACGGCTGGGACCTGACTAGCGCTGACGTGGCGTGTAAACAGCTTGGTTTCACCGGAGCCCACACACGGATACTGGGGACGTCACCACGGGGGACAGGTGAGTATACACATTTTATAAATTACCTGAAAACTTCAATCACGAATATTTCGATGTCCTTTATTGCTTAATAACGTGACAAAAAACAACATGCATTGGTTTGAATACTTAAACACTATTTAGAAATACTTAAAAACACAAACACACACACACACACACACACACACACACATTAAAGGTGTGGTGAAAATAAAGACACATCAATATAAATTCGATTTGTATTAGTACAGATAGAAATCGTATAATATTATGACCTATAATATCAGAACTGTTTTTTGTAACTTATATGCGTATCAAAATAACATACAAACACTAAATGTGTACATGCGTTATTGCTTGCTTAATGTTTTGTTGTGAGTTCAATGCATGCAGGGACGTTGATCACTTAAGCTGCTTATTAAGGTGCAAATAATGAAAAGAATCCAAACACGGTTTTTTATTAGTGGTAAACAAAACACAGCAATGACTGTTAGTACAAATTACTTTACATATTACAGGAAAAAAAAAAAAAAAAAAAAAACAAATGTCGACTGAGAAATTTTGCAATATTAGAATTATTTCGGAGGGCACTGACAATCTGGCATTAAGTTACATAATTAATTATTGACTGTTGCCTTACTTGAATATGCTGAAGTCAAAGTCAGTATTTTTATGAATTATATTTTCAAACACCAGGTCATTACTGGATAAGCGATTTGAATTGTCAGGGATCTGAGTCGACCCTAGGAGATTGCTCCCATGACGGCGTTGGTATCATCTCATCTTATTGTTCCGAATCTTCGTCAGATGATGCCGGCGTTCTCTGTAAAGGACGTGAGTATATTTCAAAGGTGGATCCAGACCCCCCCTCAGTCACACACACAAAATCCTGGCTGTCTTAAGCTAGAAAGTATGCGGCTTTACTTTCGGAAAATAAGCTAGAAAGTGTGCAGCTTTACTTTGGGAAAATAAGCTAGAAAGTATGCGGCTTTACTTCCGGAAAATGGCCAAAACTGTAGTTTTATAAAAGGGGATATCCTTGGTAGACGGAGGTGTACATATTTAACAAAGCACAGATTAATTTTATGTGGCGTAAGGAGTAATGCTAATGAGCAATGAACGTTCATATACCGGAAGTCATCTGTGCACTATTGTCCTTACTCGCTGTTTCTGTCATTTTGCATTACCTACAGCCAATGACGGAGAAGTGAGATTGATCGGCGACTCACAGTATCATGGACGAGTGGAGATATTCTACGCAGGAGACTGGGGAAGAGTGTGTAAAAGCGGTTGGTCCTGGAATGAAGCCAAAGTGGCATGTAGACAGCTTGGCTTCAGCTTGGGTGCTGAATTACTGGACATCTTGGACACCGAGGGGGACTTCGAGGGTGGTTCTAGGTATTGGTTCTACGCCTGTCTGCCCTTCTGTGTTTCCGACTAAATTTCCAACCCTTATATCTCTGTAACAGACGGACACTCGGTGTGGTTATAATATTTATTGTTATTATTACCATTTTTATTATCTTTATTATTATTATTATGCTACCTGTAATAAACAATGTCAATTAATACGATAAAATATGACATTTACAGCTCTCGGTCTCTCACATGACTCCCCACGAGCCGTCCCAGTAGGGGCACTATTAATTAAATCTCGATCGGCTCCATTCGACTGGAGGCGGATAGACCGTTACAGGATTAAGCAGTCATCCTTTCATGTAGGGTCCGCCATATTCGATCATTGGACCAGTTGATATTGTATTCTGAATGAACTCTATTTTTAATCATTACCTCAGTGTAAACGTCATTTCATAGAAATGATATTCTAAGTTTATGCTCACTTATAATTCAACATCTACATATGCAAACGAGTAGGGTAGAGTAAATAATAATTGCTTTTTTGGAAATCTCTCAAGGAACAAGTTATTTTAGAGGCAAAATGGGTCATAAAGTTAATTTCTGATGAGAGATTTGAGCTAGGAGCATTCTTTAGGTCGGTAATATCACTATTTTTGGATAAGCATACAAATCATGTGTACCACATATACAGTCACTGTAGTAACTATACAGTATTAATGTGTATACCTGTATTGAATAGGGTTGGATAAGGCCCCTATTTCACACAGACCACGAATCCCACGAATCGCCAGGAATTGACAAATTTCAGGATCCGTGAGGATTCGTGATATTTTGATTCAGTTACAATACAGGTGCGATAGTGTTACGCATATTCGTGGGATTCGGCTGGAATCGCACGAATATTGTCCAAAAATTCACTATTATTTTTTGGAATCGGGAGTTCGTGGCCAAAACTTTGAACAGCTCAAAATTTTTGTCACGAATTCCCAATTGATCAAGAATTGCAAGAACTGACTACGATTATATACGAATCTGTTAAGAACTTCACGAACTGATTACGATTCAAGCACGAATCATGAAATTTTCAATTCTGGCGATTCGTGGGATTCGTGTTCTGTGTGAAAAAGGGGCATTCAAGTTTTTGCCACCAATCCCTGTTGGTCAAGAAGTGCAAGAACTGACTACGAATATATACGAATTTGTTAAGATCTTCACGAACTGATTACGATTCAACCACGAATCGTGAAATTTGTCAATTCATTGCCATTGTCTGTGTGAAATAGGGTCATAAAGCACACGTTTTTGAGAAGTAAGTGTTTTCTGTGTCCGAAAATGATGCTAAACACACATGTGGAGCTTTTTTCTTCAACAATTATTAAGGTAGGTAAAATAACGATTTTCAAAATGGCAGACAAAACGCCCTAAGAAGAGTTGCATCATCGCCAATAATATGCCTTTTTGTTATGTTTTTAGGTATTGAAATATATTTTCCATATGTTGACACTGCCATTCCGACATTTTAAATAGAGTTTAGTTACCTTTTTGTTGATAGTTTACTGTCAAGCTTGATGGAAGAGCCAGATTTCTGTTAGTAAAAACAAGGAGTGATAAAATACCTCAAGTTCTGCTGCTTGTGAATTATAAGGAAGCATCGGAACTTTCTTAACTTCGAGCAACCAAAGGGTGTTTGTCTTTAAATTAAGAATATATCATAATCCAATTTACATCTTTTGGGAATGTTCTTCTCAAAGATAGGTCAGGGATTTCTTCCGGCTTCATATATCAAAGCAAAGGAGTTTTATCCATCCTATTGTAATAATTTTGAAACATTCACTTTTTAGTAAGGATAATTGTTTCTTCATTATAATCCTCGTCGAACAGATTTTGCGGAATAGGGGAATCTTATCTCTTCTCATTTTGATTTATTTAGATGACTGAGGTGATTCATTTTCCCCATTATCAAAGATTATGGCTATTCAGTCTAGCTTGACAGTTAAGTGTCAGCTCACATGGTAACTGAACTCACTGTAAATAACGGTTTTGTATTGTGCAATGGCAATTTTCAGACCAATTAAACTGTGCCGGTACAGAAAGCAGACTAGATGCCTGCACCCATGGATGGATAGGCCACCCCAGTTCTTGGTACTGCTCGGCAACCTCTGCCGTGGACGCCGGGGTTACCTGTGAAGCGCGTGAGTATGAGGCAACACCATAAATAATTAGACCACTGTCTGATCAACGCCATAATAAGAAAAAAAAATGCATCCTTGCATGGCTTTTAAAACGGATTGTTGAAACGATTCTCACTTGAAAAATCATTCATTTCCAAAACAGACCACCCCCCCCCCCCAAAAAAAAAAAAAAAAAAAAAAAAAAAATACTCTCTTTAATAATCAAGGAGGCCAGGGCTAATTGGCTTAATCACCGAGAAGAGGGGTAGTTGTTCATGCCGTTCTTGTGTTTTAGTTTCAAAGATGAATACCAAATTCATAGCAGTCCCAAAATGCGAATCAATATAGGTATTGCAAGTAAGCTTTTTTTTGGCCTTACTCTTCTAGCCGACGATGGCCAAGTTCGTCTAGTGGACGGTAACGGCTACAACAGCGGCCGCGTGGAGATAAAATTTGCCGGACTATGGAGGCGTGTTTGTGACTATGGATGGGGAAGCAACGACGCCGCAGTTGTTTGTCGTCAGTTGGGGTATAGCGGATACGTAAGGGCCACTTCAAGTAAGACATGTTTTTTTTTAGCTAAATAGAATTGCATAGAAAGCGAGATAAATTCCCTGTAACGTATGAATTACTAGTATCAGGTTTTTACACAGCATATAATGGAACAGAATAGAATAATTACCTGTAAATGAAATAATATTGAAATAATTATAATTCGAAATTGATCTCTCGGGCAGCAGAAAAAGGGCTAAAATACTTTTAATTAAATTTTCTGGTCGTAAATTTGATGTTCCTTTTTTCCTCCATTGTGTAAAGACTGAAAATGTTATTGATTTAAATGATGTAACAAAATGTGGTATCAAATTATGTTCCAGTTTAGTATTATTATTATCCCATTTGAAACACTAATATGACATTTTCTCGGATTTGGTGACAATGACTTGGTATAAGTACACTCTTGTCCAAAATGGTTGGTACACGGAAATTTTCGGATACATATCGCCCTGTTTCTTTCATTATTATTGATATTACCAAATTAATACTGTTTATATTGTGAAATATGTGAAGCTGGAGGATTGGCAAAGTCAAAGAGAAACAACCAATGCAAATGTGAAAAAAAGCGTTAATTTATTTAGTTTTTTTTTCTCATGTCGCCAAAAAGAATACTTTTTTTACATAACAGTACCAAGTGAACAATTAAACATAAAATTATACTGTGATTGACAATAAATATGAAATTAGGGGAAATTGTCAAGAAACATCTTCAGAGTTCATTATTAATTTCAATAGCGGGTATGCCCACCCCGAGCTTGGATAATGGCCGCCAGACGGCGTGGCATACTGTGAACTAGAGTTAAAGCTCTTTGAAGAGGAATTGTGGTCCATTCATCTTGAAGGGCATCTCGCAGTTCATCTAGATTCGCAGGGGGAGGATTTCTCCTCTGAATAGCACGACCAAGTTCGTCCCACATGTGCTCAATTGGGTTTGCATCTGGGCTTCTTGCTGGCTGCGGCATCATCTGAATGTTGTTCTGTCGGATATAGTCTGCAATTAAGCGGGCTGTGTGGGGAGTTGCATTGTCATGTTGCAATCTAAAATTGTCTCTGTATATCCCTCTTGCGAACTGCTCCAGGTTCTGCTGGAGAATGTCTCTGTATCTGGCAGCGTTAAGGTTGTCGTCCAGAGGAAGCAACGGGCAAATACCGTTGCTGCAAATGCCACCCTAAACATGTACAGAACCTTATATATATATATATATATATATATATATATATATATATATATATATATATATATTTTTTTTTTTTTTTTTTTCAGGTTGGTACCCCAGGGGAAGTGGGTCTTTTTGGCTGTCCTATGTTGGCTGTCTTGGAACAGAGAGCAACCTTACAGACTGCACACACTCCGGAATAGGGGAATACAACACCTTTTTCTGTGGCTCAGGCAGTTACGATGACGCTGGCGTTTTCTGCCAAGGATATTTACGTACGTATGTCTTTCTCACTGCCAGTGGGAAAGTCTGAAGTTTTATGGTGTGCCAGACATGATTTGGCATGAATTATTGCTTCACTTTGAAGGCATGTCGTAGACCTCATAAATGGGGGTACAGTATAGGTAACGGCATGGTCCATCATCATAGTACAACTGTATGGAAGTTAATACTTCAAAATGGGCATTTGTGGCTTAAGAAATGCGAGGTGAAAAAGTTCGATATTTAAAATTATACATCATAAATAATCATTGAAATATAAAATCCATTTTTTCTACCAGCGGGTGTTACTCCCCCCAGTGCAACCACCACCACCCCGACCACAACAACCACCGTTGCAGTAAGTAGTATTGACTGATTTTATAGTTTGTTTTTTTTTTCACTTAGTTATGGAAAGACTGACGTACATTTCAACATCGTTTACTTTGATAGACAGAAGACAAAATCATGTTGTGTCCTATTCTTCGCGTATATATTCTGTGAAATGTTAAATTGTAACATTCAAAGCTGAATAAATTATTATTATTATTATTATTATTATTATTATTATTATTATTATTATATTCCGTCTGCAAACAAGAGAAGACTTGTTTCTTTAATCAAGCGGCTGTTTTGTACGGTTAAAGCCCTTGCTTATGGTTGGGGTTATTGTTGGACTTCAATTTATTATTGCATTCCTTTTTGTTTTAAGTGGACGCTCGAATATCTGATATCTCATTTCAGAGCGGACCTAGATGTTATTCCTGCTCAGCCACCTCCTCGTGTAGCGGATCACAAAACAGTTATTACTATTATAACACATATATCACGTGCTCGTATGGATACGTGTGTCACGTGAGTGTCTCTCTCTATTGCACACACATGGACACGCACACCAACACACGCACACACGCTTGATGGATACAACATAGTGACACGGG